GTACAAATTCCCTCTCTCCGGATAATGAAGGATGCAAATCTGAACGAAGATGATTGGATCCAGACACGACTTGATCAACTCAACCTCATTGACGAAAAGAGACTTGCTGCTATCTGTCATGGTCAGACGTATCAGAAACGGATGATCAGGGCATTTAACAAAAAAGTCAGACCACAGGAATATCAAGTTGGGGATCTGGTAATCAAGAGAATCATCCTTCCTCAGAGTGATCCAAGGGGCAAATGGACCCCTACGTACGAAGGGCCATTTGTGGTTAAGCATGTGTTCTCAGGAGGAGCAATGATCTTAACCAACATGGATGGTGACGACCTTCCTCACCCCGCCAATGCCGACATAGTAAAAAGATACTACGCATGAAAAAAGACCCGCTAGGCTGACACGCCTAGGCCAAAATTAGGGCTTCCCGTCGAACCAAAAGGGTTCGGGCAAAATGAAGGGATGAAAATGAAAAAAATCTGTACACCCGGCAAGTCGAAAACCTGAAAAGGCGGCTTGGGCAACAATGGGTATCCCGGTGGACCGAAAACCCGAAAGGGCGGTCCAGGCAAAAATTAGGGATAAAAAGCGTAATACTATGTCTCATTGGATCACGTTGCATCTAGAATCCGGTATCTACATCAAGTTCAGACGGTATCAATCAGTCAGCTTCACCTTCAACCAAGGTCATCAAGTGATGAGACGCTCGTAGTTATAAAGGCAATAGCAGAGTTGAAATCCAGTGGGATCATTCATTTCACACAGCTGTCTTATTTTATTTTATACAAAATTTGTATAAACTCTTTTGTTCGGCGGCGTTCTCTTACTAGGACGTCGGCCTCTTGTATACAAAAACGCCTATTCACAGGCCATTCAAAAATCAATACAAATATATTTTCAGTTAAACGTGCCAAGTGTTTTTCTTTTTCTGTTTTGTTTTGCGAAGAACGTCCAAGGTTCAATTTGTGATATATGCATTGACAATAATTTGCTAACTCATAAATATTTGCATACGAAACAAATGAATTAATTGCAGGTGACACTAGAAACGGGGGCAATAAAAGAGTTGTCTGAGCAGTCTAATTGTTCTATCCTCCAAGGTACCAAGGTAGGTTCAGCTAAAGAACACGACCAAGTACATATTAAATCCCCAGCAGAGTCGCCAGTTCTGTGATCGGTGGATCTGGAACTGACTGTTTAACGCTGGTTCGCGAAATGTCGCGGAAGCAAGAGTCGCCACCGTCTTTTATTTTCTCCAAATGGAAAGGACAAAAGCACAGAAAAATTCCTTAAAGAGATTGCTCTCGGTTCGGGAGGTAGGTTATAGAAAGGGAAGGTGTTAGCACCCTTTCTATCCATGGTTATCCATGGGCTCTTAGATACTTGCTCATTGTGTTTTCAAAAGTGGTTTGTTTGCTTTTCAATGTGGGTTTTAAAAAGTTTCTTTGAAAGTTTCAGATCGACTCTTGTGTCAGAGTGTTTGAAAAATTGCTTTGAAAGCTTTTGAAAAGTGTCGGTGTGAAAAGAATATTATTTATTTTTATAATTAATTGTACATAAAAATTAGGTTTAATTTAAGTTTCAATTTAATATTTTCACAATAAATTTAAAAGCTATTAGAATTAGGGTTTGCCTTTTAGTTTAATTTTAACTAACTCTTTTTTTCATCAAATTCCTAAAAACACTAAAAATACCAAAAACATTCTTCTTTTAATTTTTAATCTTAATTCCTCATTAATTCTAATTAATTAATTCATGTAATTTGATATTTTACAAAAGGGTCCAACGCCCTCGTTTCGATAATTCTTTAATTTCGCATACTTATTTCTTTTTCCGCTTAAATAATTATGTATCTCTCCCGAAGCCTTGTAAAGTTACTTTTCGCACTTTTTTCCTTTGCTTTATTTATTTTCTGTCAAATCGGGTCCGGTTTAATTTTGGCGATGTGGACCCGCGCCTTTTGTAATAGCTTAGATTTATTTTTCCCGCAAATATTTTAACTGTTAACAAAAAGCATGAAAGAATGAATGACAAAATAAAAGCAACGCGTAGAACACCAATAGACATGACAAGACAAATATAAATGAAAACGACACACGAATCGCACACACCACCCCTAGGGTACGCCTCACTGTTGCCTTACCTTCGAAAGGTGATCGTCGAGTAGAGGATGTCTTAGTAAGTCCTCATGATCCGGGAACCTGGCATGAGGGTAGCTTCTAAGGTGTCTTCCCATTGCTCTGGTGATCACCATGTCCCTACAAACTCGAATTGACCCGAACACCTCCAACGGTGGTGCTACCTACCTCTCAATGGTGGGATGGCATTACTTTAAAGGACATTTACACAGACGAATTCCTTAGGGTAGGTAGACGACTCATGGATACTTGCTCTTTTCAAAAAAAACAAACAAAAATCTTTTCACACCGACACTTTTCAAAAGCTTTCAAAGCAATTTTTCAAACACTCTGACACAAGAGTCGATCTGAAACTTTCAAAGAAACTTTTTAAAACCCACATTGAAAAGCAAACAAACCACTTTTGAAAACACAATGAGCAAGTATCTAAGAGCCCATGGATAACCATGGATAGAAAGGGTGCTAACACCTTCCCTTTCTATAACCTACCTCCCGAACCGAGAGCAATCTCTTTAAGGAATTTTTCTGTGCTTTTGTCCTTTCCATTTGGAGAAAATAAAAGACGGTGGCGACTCTTGCTTCCGCGACATTTTGCGAACCAGCGTTAAACAGTCAGTTCCAGATCCACCGATCACATTATGCTCCTTACCAGGTACTTATGACCACTTGGTGAATACTCTTACCTATGGAAAAGACACTATTAATCTTGATGTGATTGATGATACAATTTTATTCATTCTCAAAAGAAGGAACTCAAGGTGACATTATTAATGTGAAAGAGGATCAAGATCGTGGGTGGAACAATTGTAATACATGTTTTGGAAATAAGAGGTCTAAATTCATAAATCGTAAAACAACGAAGTGTTAGTGTTATACACTACTACGAAAAGGCATTTAACAATGGTTGGAAAAGATATATAATCACGCAGACCCAAACATTATTATGTAAAATGTTATTATAAATATGTCATTTACAATCACGGTCATGGGGTCGTTGTAGTGTACTGGAAAGTGCACGCCATATCACAATTGTTAGTTAACTCAACCGTTGTGATATACCTAAAGGTCCCGTGTTCAATTCTCAATAGTGATATTTTGGAATTTATATTATTCTGATCAGTGTTTAACATATAACCACGGTTAGTTGTTATAACCGTTGTCAAAATTTCTGCTATTTTTAAAAAAGATATTCTCTGCTTTTAGAAAATTTTCCATATTTTAACCATATCAGAAAATTAAATGCAACCCGTAGAATGCTGCATATTCTTTGCTCAACAGCTCCTTTAGGAAACATGCCCATTGCTGATACTCAAATATAAACTTCCTTGACATCAAGCATTTTATTTACAAGCATAAAATGTTTATCATGAGAATGATAATTCTAATGCAAAAGTTATGTAAGTCTTGAAGATTTTATTGAAAAGATGTCGCAAAACCTTGTAACTGAATCACTCGCTAGGATGCGACATTGATTTGTGTATGAAAGATAACAAAAGCATATGATACCAACATTAATATTTGTCATAACTCATGGGAGTCGGGAAACGTTATCTCGTTGAAGTATGATTTCGAAATAAAACCTTGCTTCAATTAGAACTTCTGAGGGTTGTAATGTGGCCTGGTTCATGGTTTTTAGAAAAAGATTTTAAGGCTCAAAGTTTATTTGTGCCCACTCATTCTTTGTGACGTTCTCCATTTCTATGTTACGTTAATTTAATATGAGTGTTCATCTCTTAGAAAGGATTTTTATGATGGTTAAGGAAACAATGAAGCTTTCGGAGTAGCAGTCACATTTTTTGTCTTCGTGTTTACAGTCACACGAATTTGTTCTTTGTTAAGGACTCTTTCTTTGTAGTCCTTTATTTGTAGTATTTTTCGCTTTTCGCTATTTTCTTTTCTTTTCGTTTTTCCCTAACTTTTTCCTAGACTCATTCTTTTGAATTGATAGTCCAGCGACATGCCCTAATTTTTTCCTAAGTTACTTCACATAGCAGGTTTTTTCTTTTTCTTTTTCTTTTCTTTTTGATTTGAACAAATCGTGTGACATTGGCTTTGTCTTGACTTGTTGAAAGGATTGTGACTTCCTCGTTCTTTGGCGGATGAGAGATAACCATTGTGGTTTCACATTTTCCAACCTTATGATGCGCATGGGATAACCCTTGTGGTTTCACGTTTTCCAGCCTTTGATGTGGATAAGACGTGATTAACCCTTAAATGCATAATCCTTTTTGAAATTTGAACACTTGGTCAAATTAACTAAAGTCTACCTTGCCCTAGGTTACATGTAAGGGTATTTTTCGTATAGAAAATAAAATCCTACTTCAAGGCTCAATGGGGTTTAACAAGGGATTATCTTCCTTATATCTCTGGTGTTTAGGGATTTGACACAATGTTTGTACATCACCAGTAGGGTTTTATTCAAAAGCATATAACCAGAGATATTTTTTAGTTTTTTAAATTTATCATCCTCCCTCTAATTTCTGCCTAAGGAAAAGTATTGGCAACAAGTTGGTATCATAATTCACAAAAACAATTTTAAATTGAAAAAAAATACAAGTAAAACGAATGTATTTCTTAAAAACAGACATATTCATTGTATTAAGATAATCATTCAAATGCAAATAAGTCCTTACATGCAAACAGTGCAATGATAAACAAGAAAAATTACAAATGAAAAAGCACTAAAATGTTAATAAACTGATAAGACTCTCCATCTGGACTTGTACTTAAGGAACCATCTTTTAAACTTCAGGGCCATCATCAAAGAGGTTCACACATGCTTTTCCATAGGGTTGTTTTAAACATTAGGACCAATGTCCTTAAATGACAAGATACTTCTTTTGACCAACCTTTGAACTTCTACCTTCAACGCAAATAAATCTTCCAAATCGTGCCCAGGAGCATCCTGATGAAAAGCATAGAAAGCATCAGCCTTATATCCCATTTGAATTTTTTCAAGAACGAGTGGTCTAGCTCGAATTTAGACCAAACTCGTCTGCAATAAAGAAGGATACAGCTTTATGTATGACATTGGAATCAGATTAAAATAATGTTGCCTTTGCTGATGACCTTGATGATTTGGTGGTTGATGACATTGTTGTTGTAGCTGAAGAGCATAAGTGGGGTTAACCATTGAAATAACATAAGCAACTTATTTATGTTAATGATTCTTGTTATGAGATCTCTTTTTCTTACCATGGGAGATATCATAGGAGTCTTGCTCTTTCTTCTTGGTAGAACCATCACCATACTTATTAGCATCATTTGATGAGTCCCCATCCTTGGACAAACAACCTTCACAGATAGCTCTAAACAGACTCTCATGCTTACCATTTCGGTGAAATAAGTGGGAGCACTTGCAACCATCTTCTCATAATAGAATGATCCAAGAGTTTTCAGGAAGATCTTGTTCATTTCTTTCTTTTCCATTGGAGGGATAACCTAGGCAGCTACTTCACGTCATCTCTATGTGTACTCTTTAAATGATTCCTTATCCTTATGAGTCATTCCCCTGAGCTGATCACGGTCTGGTACCATGTCCATATTATACATGTATTGTCTAATAAAGGCTTCACCCAAGTCGTTGAAAGTTCAGATCTGAGAGCTATCTAATCTCGTGTACCACTTAAGAGCAGCATTAGTCAAACTATCTTAAAAGTAATGAACCAGCAGACACTGATCATCAGTGTAGGCTGGCATCTTCATGACATACATTAACAAATGAGCTTGAGAACAAGAGTTTCCTAAGTACTTCTCAAATTCCAGGACTTTAAATTGCGCAAGTACCTTGACATTAGAGACAGGGAAGATATCACTAACATTCGTACCAAACAACTCTTTCCCTCAGAGAGCTTTCATCTCCTTTTGTAACTCTTAAAATTGGTCCTAAAAATCATCCATGCGATCATAAATACCTAAGCTCTCACTTGGCGCAGCAACAAAATGGTAACTTTGATCATCAACAATAGGGGTAGCATGCACAATAAGAGGTGCAATAACCATAACATGTTGAAGAGGATTATACACTTCAACATTTGGATTATAACCTTTAGGGACAAAGTTCTCATGCCTACCCCAAGGATAACCACGAGGCATCTGATACTGAGTAGCAGTACAGACAAGAGTAACAAAAATGGGAACTGATAGCATCTCAGAAATAACAGTAGCTTGTTGCTGAGGTTGAACAATACAAGGAGAAAGAGTGTGGTTGATTCTGAGCAACCTTCAAAGATTCCACCAGAGCAGTAAGTCTTTCCATTCCAGATCTCAAAGGTTTTCCATTCTTTTATTATTATTAGCATGAGTGTTGTATAGATGTGACAGTTTGTTGAACGAAGGGCAAGGGAATTAAGTAAGACTCCAGGAAACTTATGAAATGAAAAATTAAGTGCAAAAGGATGCATGACATGCAATATAAATTCCATGTTCCAATGTTTCAAAGAACTTATAGGATTTGATTTCTATTATTAAGTTGTGGTGTTCTTCTTGACAATGTTCTTTTTTTTTTGCGGCTTAACAAGGTTCCATCAAGGCTGGATATCAGCTGCATTGTTTCTGAACATTCTGAATGTAACATGATCAAAGGTCCAAAACCAGCTTAAAACACAAGAAAACCAAGTACCACAAAGATCGCCATCTGTACCTTTAAGAGTAATTCCCACCCTATATCACCTGTTGATTCTGGTTTGGGTATAGCCAAAAGGCCCACAAAGTCATGAGTCCACGTCGAAACATATCATCGTAACGGAGGTACGTATGATGACAATGTCCTCAAATGAACCTCGTATGATCATGGTAATTCATGATCCCACTAGTAAGGCCTACACCCCACAGGCTTCATGAACATCCACTCTAGTCCTATGTGTTCCTAAGTGTTTCTCTCTGGCCTGGGTATTGGGCCTTTTACCTCTTATTAACATCCCACCCAATCTGAAAAAATAGAAAATCTAGCAACCAACACAACATATATCTAGAATAGTGGAAAACAATAAAACTCAATGTGTGCAATAAATAAACATCAAGTAAAGCATAAAGATAAACACCCAAAGAAAAAGAACAAACAAAACTAGGATCTACATACTTAGATATGCTATTCCCCAGTGAAGTCACCAAATGTCTGTAGCGGTGAAAAGTTGAGACTAAGCCATTGATTGACTTAACTCACAAAGTGAAAGTCCCCACCACACTTTATTGTTTCCAAAGGAAAATGGGAAAATAATGAATAAAACCCAAAATAAAATAAAGATCAAGTTACGGGGGTCGATTATGCAAAGGGAATGTATTAGCTCCCTAAATATTTGTTATACTCAACCGGATCAACTGTGTTTATTCTAATAAAAGGGTGTGTTATCTAAATCATATACCCGCTAAGGGAATGCATAAAAATGAATTGTTAAAGAACAAAAAGATTTTTTTATTATTGCGCTCATCTCGGTTTCGAAACCTCGTGCCTACGTATCCCTATCGTGCAATAGGAAATCAGAGTACCAAAGTTCTTCTAAAAAATTTGGTTTGTTGTATATTTTTAGTGAACGGTGTTAAATTTCACATTCTACTGCAACTCGACCTTTAAAGACTCACGCATTTGTCGTAGAAAGGAATTAACATGTTCTTTACTTGAAAAGGTTTTTAAAAGAAAAGCCCGAAGGCAAAAAGGTTTGAATTGGTTGAGTATTTTTGTTGGGATAATAGCAAATGGATCCCAATGCAGAGGCACCTACTATTTCTCCACTTATTTGCAATAGAGTTTATAATTTGAACCAGATTAAAGATTCTGGGTGAAAGGAAGTACAAGGTTAGGAATGCACCTCCTCATACTTCTCTCAATACTTAAGGCTCGTCACATATGGTTTGCCTCTTTATTGTTAAGTGTTTTTTATATTTTTAGATTAAGAAAACAAAGAATATTTAGTTTTAGATGCAAATGCAAAAGGGGAAAATTTTCTAAGGGGAAACTTAAGTCCTAATGTTATCATATAATATGGTCTTAGAGTTATGATTGAGGGAACTTCTACATAATGTTATCATGCTTGGTTTAAAACCTAAAGTCTATTTAATTCACAACTTGAACAATATGGAATCAAACTCCTAAGGGTACACTTGAGCACAAGCAATCAACAAATATATTTTTATACCCCAATTTTTACCCCTAAGATCTCTCATCATCTCATTTTATCAATGCATCAAGATCACACACTAGGGTTGTTTCTCTCTTTCTACTTCATCATATCTTTAAGTTTGCTCTTAAGGGATCGCCAAACACCTTGAATTGTGTATCTTGGACATGTTTTTTAGGTGGATTAACTAACATCAAAATATGTATATATGTCTCTTTGAATGTTCATATTGTAGGTGATGACACAATTACATTCATCTCACCATCTAACCTAGGGTTTGAGGGTTGGTCTTCAATCAAATGGTTCTCCAATTGATTGCAAGAGCTTAAGCTTCAAGGTCATGTCTATGATATCAAATATTTGTGGTTCAAAGAGTTCTCTCACTTTATTTAGGTCAAACTTTCCACAAAGTTAGTGGTGGCATTCATCAAGAAGATTCATAGGTTCATGTGTTTATTTTCATGCCTTCTTTAACAAGTTTAATTGAGACTTAAGCTTCATCTTTGAGTATGCTTCAAGACAACATAATTTTAAGGCCTATTGTGATTCATCATGCTTTATTTTTCCAAGAAAGTTCAAAAAGATTCAAGGTTGATCAAACAAGTTTAACCTAATTGAGCAAGTGCTTGATTTAGTGATCATAAATGCATAACTCTCTAAATTTTCACTATTTTGAGTTGGTTCTTTTTTCTATGGTTCCTTATCATCATCTACAACAACTTCTCTTCACATGACAAGATCCAATTGTGTAATAAAAATCACCAAAAGTTGAAAGGGGTTTCAAGTCATTTTGACAATCTCTGAGCTAGGGTTTGTTGACTTCTAAGGACCATATCTTGCTCATTTTTTGATATTTTTGATTGAATCAAAATTCATGATTATCTTAAAAGGCTCCTTAACAAGTTCTCTTCAGGGATCTAGGGATAATTTTGAATGGAAAATCACTAATAGTTGAGAAAGATTACAAGTCTTTTTTTGAAAAGCCTCTGAATCTTAGGGTTTGACTTCAAATGATCATAACTTGGTCAATTTTTATCTCCTTGATCCCATTCTTTTTCCATAATAATCTTTGGGATGTCTACTACAAATTTGTTTCAATGTGCGAGACTTGAAAATGCTTGGAAAGTTGTTGAAGAATATAAAAGATTATAGGTCTTTTGTGAATTTTCCCAAATTTGTTCATCATCTTCCAAAGACCATAACTCTTTCATTTTTTATGATTTTTGAGTGATCTCAATTCCACAACTCAATTCATGAGGTATAATTCATTTCATATTCAATTATCAAGACCAGATTTTAAGTGAAAGGTCATGTAATTTTGAAGAACGTTATAGGTCATTTTGAGGCTCATACTTAGAAATATTTCTTAGTACAAAAATCAGATTTTTTTTCATGATTTCAAAGTGATGTAACTTTTTGCTCAGATCCCTAAATGATACCTTTCTTGCCACATTGTAAAGTTTGTGACCTCATCTTCCAAATGCAAAAAGAATGAATCCAAAATGGTCCCTGAATAGTGAGTTATGCATTGTTGAAGTTGGCTCCATGGAATACGTTTTTGCCTCGAGTCAGAATTTTTACCATGGGTAAACTTGGATTACAAGTCGAATTACTCAAAGTTTAGTTGCTAAACATGTTTAACTAATTGCCCATGTACGTTTTGACAAGAATTTCACTTGGTATGAGGTCGTTTTGAAGAGAAGAAGCGAATGACACCAGTCTGAGCTTCTAATTTTACAGATTGAAGGACCTGCAATTTGCGCGTGGCTGGAGGTTGGAGATGATCAATGTGTCACCTCTTAACCAATGACAAAGCGCCACTTATTTTTTCAAATATGTTTAAAAAATAAATGATCAGGTGGTTTATTCACTAATGATCATATCATACACAGTGCGTCTTATCCTTTGGATTAGCTTACTAACGCGTTATGACATTGATCTAATGGTCCACATTATTTTGATATTATTTTTATTTTCTGATTTTTTGTTTTAATGGTTTTAAACTCAAAAATTTATAAAAAATTCATTTCAACTTCTAAAATTGTGAAACAATTCTAAAAAATGCTTTTGATTTTTCTCTTTTTGATTTTTTTCTTCACAATTTTATTTTGTGATTTGGTATTTTTTATGATTTTTCACTTTATTTGACTTATTTTAATTATTTAAAAATATTTTTCTTGATTTTTAAATTTTGAAAAAATTATGAAAGGATCCAATGACCTTTTGATAAATATTGGTGAACTCATTTTATTTTTTATTTTTTATTTTACTATTTTCCATAAATTTTAGTTTATTTTGCTTATTTCTTTAAATTTTAAAAATAGCTTATGACTTTAAAAAATTCTAAAAAAAATTGTCAACACTTGTTGACTCATATTTGACTTCTGATATTTTTTTAAGATTTTTTTAGGTGTTTTAATACATGTTGTGTGTTTTACCAATTATTTCCTTTTTAAATAATTTAAATTTTGTTTTATATTAAATATATTTTATTATTTTATTGGTCCTGATTTGGAGACACTTGAATGTTTTTTTAGACAAATTCCTCAACCTCATTGGATCTTGGGTGTTGATAGGTTGAAAAACCAAATCCACCAAAATGGATGAATGATGTTGATGATATTTGAAACCCTAATTCTCTTCATCTTATCCCTTTCTTGTTTTTACTTGTGCTACATGATTTTGGAGAATGATCTACATATCATTTCTCTAACATGTTGGTACATAGATTGCCATTGACCGACCTCAAAATAGGTGTGACTTCTACATAAGTACACTTACGATTGTTATGAGGCTTTGATTCTATCAATACTCTAATAAACTTCATGAACTTTGGTCTAAGTGAATCATTTGAACATCGTTGATCACATGTGGTTGCTTTGAGCATTTGAAATGAATGATATACTTGACAAAAAGCAAATGAGAGTTGTTGTTGAGAAACTTTGATTTTATCAATTTTTTAATGAGTCTTCAAATGCAAGCTTCTAGATGGTCATTCAACTAACTTTTTAACTTTTAATTCACTAACAGTTAACTTTACTTTATGCCTTTACTTTATGTCTTTATTTTTGCGCCTTTACTTTTATGCACCATTTATTTTACCATTTATATTTCATACCATATTTATTTTCTCCCTTACCATTTATCTTTATGTCATTTTATCTTTGCTCATTTGAGCTTTTCTTTTCTTTTAAAGACACTTAATAATCAACTTGAACAATAAAAAACTTTAAGGTTATTTGGACTACTTGGTTACTATCATTGGCATTATGGAGTTGTGGATCTCTCGGACTTAGGATTAGAAACCTTGATACTTGGGACCTTGTGGCTCTGTTGTTATTTTATCTAAAGCTCTTGGGGTTTACTCTAAGGCATTAGGTTGATTTTCTTTGTGTGCAGGCTATTCTGATTATATATTTTGTATGTGATTAAGAGTTCTTCTGTATACAGTTGTTACTCTGCCCAATTTTTGTGAAGACTTAATTCATCTGAATCTTGGTATTTCTCAGAAATTTAGTATTTTTGCTTGTTTGGTTTCAATCCAAAGGATGAGAATTCTATATTGACTTCTTTATGTCAAGTGTTGCCTTCTTGTTAGTTAGATCGTTCTTTTACTTATCTTTTACCTTATGTTTTAGGATAGTCCCTTCATCTCCTCATATTTTCTTTAATTTCAAAAGTCTTCTCCCTCCTTTTCAAAACTCTTCTTGTTTTCTAACTTGAACCGTTTTCATAATAAACTTGGAATTAGGTCCATGCATTTTCAAAAATATTTTCTTAATCAAACTTTAATTAATTTAATCATACTTGGACATCTTTCTTAAAGACTAAAAGTCAATTAACCTCTTTCAAACTATTTTTCCCCTTTGACTTTTTTACTTTAAAAACGTTTTCTCAAAAGATTAGACTCTTGTCGATTCTTGTAATGACGCAAGCTACTATACTTCTCAATATATAGTGAAGTGATATATTTTCCACTTGGGTGTTGAGTGAGACTTTGTTGATTTTAAAATCCAAGCTATATCTTCCACTTTGAGATGATGCAAATTCTCATTTCTTATAATTGTTGGTAGTAAGTATGTTTTCCATTCGAATATGATGATGATATCTCTTCTCTTAAAATTAACCAACACACATGTGTTTTAAAATTTCTTAAGGTGAACTACGAGTACCCTGATCCCCTATTGCACGTAAGGTGATACGTAGACACTATAGATTCGCAACCACGGCGGGTGTAAAAATTGTAAAAAATACTCTTTTTTTTCTCATCTTCGTCATCTATTCTTTTGTATACACCTTTTTTATAGCCAAAATACACAGATTTTCAAAGAGGTTACTGCAGAGTACCATAGATATTTAGGGTGCTAATACCTTCCTTTTTCATAACTAACCCGCGTACCTATATTCTTCCCCTTTTTTGGGGTTTATTCGCTCTTTTCTCATTTCCTTTGGAAACAATAAAGTACAGAGGCGATTTTTATTTGATCTCTACAAGTTAAGTCAATCTAGTGGTTTAGTATCAACATTTCTACTGCTATAGATACGGAAAAGGTGATATCAAACAAAACCGAAGTATCACTTGAAAAAGGAAGAAGATTATGAAAATTAAAGGGGAGGGGATGGAGATACTATCCTAAAGCATAAAGAAAAAGATAAGGTAAGGATGGTCTGGTCAAACAAGAAGTCAACACTAGACATAATAAAGTCACATAGAATTTATATCCTTTGAATTAAAGCCATAAGTAAAGAATAAACAAAGAGTATACCAAGCATCAAGTGAAAAATAAATCACAAGCAGAAAGTGCATCAGATAAACCCAAGGTCTCAGATAAGGCTCAAAGGATCAGATGATCCTCAAGATATCAGATAAGAATCCATGTGTCAGATGCAATTCCAAACAAATAGACAAAACCAGGATAATAAATATATAAACCAAATGTCTCGTGTGAAGTAAGAATCAAGGCTGAATGAGTTAGAATCATGTATCAGAGCTAAATGAATAAACAAAATATGAAGTAAATCTTTAATTAATAAATTAAGAGTTGAATGAGTTAATTAATTAGATTAAAGAAAAATTAATTATCCAAACTAATTAATTTTTAATAACAAAATTAACTAATTAAATCGATATTTAATTAATTAACTAAAAGCAACAAAGTCGTGCTAAGAGGAAGTGAACATTTGAGCCATCTTAAAAGCTTGCACAAACCAAAAACCAATTTAGTAATCACAAGAGAAATTACAAATATAACCAAATGAAACTTTCATAATTCAACATTCTTCTAAATCAAGAATCACAAACATGTATCAAGGAAGAAATAAAACAAGAATATGAATCGAATTGGTAAGTAACATTCAACTTGTGAATTAACAAGGGAAGTGGTAAAGGATGTGAAGTCTCAAGAGTTAACAATTTGCAATCTCAAGTCTCATGAAAGCTTTAAGTCTCAAAACAACTTCAAATATTCATTCCATTAATTAGAAATCAAAATCAATTAGAATACACTCATGTTGCCATTCAAGACATATTCAAAACATAAAAAACGAGATTAGAATTAAGCCTTAATCGATTAAATCAATAATCGAGAAGCAACTATACATAAATAATTATGCCCCAAAAATCAATATAAAACAAGTTTGAAACCAAACAGAAACATATCACAATTAATACCAAGTTTCTCATTCAAAGTTAAACTCAAATGGAACAAAAAAATCATCAATGGCTTTTGAATTAATTAAGGCAACATGGTATCGACACCGGACTTCACTCGGATTTAACATAGATAACACAAAAAGCATGGTATTGACACAAAAAATCAATCGAAATTGACTCAAGTAACATGGTAATCCTTGGTTCATCACAAATGACATACCAACCATTAATGTTTCAAATCAAGTAAACCACAACAACAACTTTATCATTAACTTCAAAGAATAATGTCATCAAAGTTTCCTTCAATTGGAAAGTTCTATTTTCAAACAATAATCAACACCACTTCAACAGAAATTCACCAACAACTTCAACAATTAAATCAATCACAATTTTATTATCACCTCCCCAATGATTCAACAGCAACTTCATTATTAATATTAAATTTCAACAATAATATCACCATCATCTTCAACAATTAAATGAAACAATAATGTAATCACTTTAACTTCAACAATTAGAACAAAACAATGTAATCACCAATAATTATCCATCAGCAATGTCAATTAACTTCAACAATACCATTAATCTCAAACAAATTCAAACAACAACAATAATGACATCAATTCTAACATCTAGATTCAACACATAACCAACTCAATATTCAGATTTAATTCAAACAACTCAATAACACCATCAATTTCATTATTCAACTTAGCATAAATAACAAAGTAATGACATCAAGATAAATTGCTCAGATTAACAACAATATAACAATTTCAAAACTCATATTTAAAGTCCATAATCCAGCAATTAAACCACAACAAAGATGATGGTGAAAACTTACCAAAGAAGAATGGTGGTGATGGCTTGAGTTGGAGCGGATGATGGAGTTGAACGTGTGTTGTGTATGCGCGAATATTGAAGTGTGACCGAAAGAGATGGTTGTCTTCTATGGCCGTGTGACAGCAAGTGGTAGACGGAGGGAGTAGTAGCGTCGTAGGAGGGTGACATATTGTTTCGTGGAAGTGTGGCTGGTGGAGTGGACAAAAGGGATCTCTCGTGGGCTGATGACGGATCGGGCGGAAAACAGAGGAAGGTTGGAGGTGAGCTGCGTGTTTATGCTGAAGTGGAAATGGGTTTTTGTGGTTCAGTTTGTAGGACAATGAGGACGAGTATGGGCGAAAGATGTTGAGATTGTGGCAGATGCGGTTTGGTTGTTGAGAGCTTGACGGGGGTGGATGTTTGGTGTGAGGTTTGAGAAAGCGGAGGGAGTGGTGGTTCTTGGAGAGTTTGTGTGGGTTTCTCTTTTGTATCCTCACAAATCTGATACCTCAAAATTGTTACCTCCCCCTTCAATCTCTTATCTCTATTCTTTTATAACAAAACAATAGGGTTTAGCCCAAAACACCCTTTTCAATAAGAATGATATAAAAATCTAAAAGAATATAAATAAATATACTTAAAAATATTTTTGTTTCAATTTTTTCTGAATAAAAAAGGATACTTACAATAATCAAAAACGATAAAAAAAAAGACATTTAATTAATCAGAAGAAGAAAAAAAAAGAAATGAACATATTAAAATAAACTACTAGTCACAAAGGTTAATAAAAAAGACTACAAATGATCAAAATTGAAATAAAAGTGAGAAAAAGAATATCCGGCTGAATAGACGCTGATAGTTAAGAAATAGAATGCAAACTGTACCAAAAAAATAAAGCGAGCACACCGACATGATCTACACGCAACGTAGATTCATAAAATAGTCAGTTAAATATGAAAGTTCGAAATATTTTACATACTAATATTGATATTTCTCACAGTCGGCTAGTAGAACCGAAATATCAATATTATCGAAATATAACCAACTTGACGCAATACATGAAGTAAGATATCAGGTATTTTTCAACTCTAAAACGATGCAAATGTTGATTTAAGTTGACTGTTGGTCAACCTAAATGCACGACTAACCAACTAATGATGCAAATGCGGTGCATGAATGACCCCAGGGAAAAAATTGAGGTATGATAGTGAGTGTGTGATGTTGGAACTTCATAAGAGAAATCTATTGAAGTATATTTGTAGTTGCAAGTAGGAATTCTACAAGTATTGTATACTAGGTAAATTATGTTGTGTTCGGTTCAAGACCAGAAATCACAAAACACATGGAATTTTAGACTATGTGCATTCTGACGTGGGGGATCTACTAAAGAGGTTTCTATGGGTGGTTCCATGTATTTTGTGACTTTCACATATGGTTTTTTCGCAACGTTTGGGTGTATTTTTTGAAGCATAAATATGAAGTCTTTACCAAATTCAAGTTGTGGAAGGCTGAGGTAGAGAATCAAACAGGAAAAAATCAAGTTTTGCAGTCAAATGATGGAACATAGTACACCGATTTTAAATTCAAGAGGTTATGTGAAGAACACGAGATTCAAATACATTTTTCACTTTGAAAAACATCACAAAGAAATTGTATGGCAGATAGAATGAATACGTCTCTAATTAAAAGGGTGAGATGTCTCTTGCTAAATGTCGGACTATCAAAAAGTTTTTAGGCAGAGGCAATTAACATATGTTGCACCCCAAAATTTTCCCTCTTTATTTTACTTGCATGGCTTGTACTCATCATACATACTCATGAATTATCATGATAGGATCAAAGTATCTAGGTTCCTAAGTAACTCTACAAACTATTTAAAGATTTATTGTATTGACAGTCAAGACAAGAAAGGTCTTATACCCTAAATCTTTGAGTTTCACAAGATACAAAAGTTTTTCATACCCCAAGACATCTCAATTGTCTCTTTGATTCATCAGAAGTTTAAAATTGCAAGTGTTGACTCTTGAATCACATGTTCTCCTATTCATCTCTCAAAATTAAGGTTTTGACCACTTGAAGAGTTTGAGGCTTGTAGGAGTAAAATTTGTGAAGTACCATCTTCTCATAATCATGTGAAGCATCTTTGTTAAAATAATCTCTCATTTTGTCCAGAGGAATGAGGGTTTTGAAGATTGGTCACCATCTCCTAGCAAAAAGGTTCAAAATTAAGGTTTTTAACTTAATCAGGAAATCTCTGACTTTTTGGGCAAGACTTGAGTCCATACCTCTCTACATGTTAATAAACTCGAATGTTTGAAGGAGTAAGTGCCAATTTTGATTGGAAAAGGTTCATGAAAATTCTGGCTACAGATACTTAATGTCACGTCCGATGTTATGACACCGTATCTGACTTACTATATGACAGTAAATACAAAAGCAGTAAACAACACAGTCAATTGTTTACCCAGTTCAGTGTGCAACAACACCTACTCTGGGGGCTACCAAGCCAGGGAGAGAATCCACTATAAGAGATGTTAATTCAGGAATAAACCAACCAGTTTATCTCCTTCACTTAAGACCTACCCAATGCAATTCTAATCTAAGTACAACTTAAACCTGAGTTCCTACTCACTCCCCCTCAATCACAGCAGTGATACATAAACCAATTTGACTTGAGAATTGATGAAGACACTCTTCAAAACACACTCTTGATTAAGCTTCACAGCTTTTTAATCAAGTAACACAATCACTCGTGCTTCACAGCTTTGAGTGATGTACACAACTAACTTGACTCTGCTTCACAGCTTTAGTCAAGTAACATTCAAACACTCTTGCTTCAAAGCTTTGAGTGCTACACAACCCTTACAATTGAAACCTATTCCAAGACACTTATCACAATGATAATTGCTTGGAGTACAATAAACAAATCTATACAGATTACAAACTTGATCTTCTAATCAATCAGCAGGGATAGCTTCAAAAACCGCAGCTCTGTTGAATATATAGCAGCTGCAACTTCAGTTAGGGTTTCCAAAAACCTAGGGTTGATTCCGTTTGACCTAAAGACCAGGTCACAGTACTTTGTTGATCAGGTTAGGATTGAGCTAGGTTACTCCTCAGAAAACGCAGGATTCTGTTTAGGAAGGACTGAGTTATTTCCTGAAAAAACTCAGACTTATCTAATCCTGTAATCCTGCTAGTTCAGAACAGGATGTCATAACATCTGTTATGACATCTGAGAAAACCTGTCTACTGATTAGCTAAATGTGATCATTTTGCAAACATGCTCAGATACACACTTATAAACATCAGTATTTGAGTTACAATATTTTTCTGCATATGTACCTAAAGAGTTAGTACAACCTGAACTAGAATGTTATGACATCAGTCATGACATTCACACATACACTTGGAATTTACCAAAAATGCAAGCCAATACTAAAACACCTACAAACTCCCCCTTTGGCAGATTTTTGGCTAAAGTCCCTAAACAATCAGAGATAGATAGATAGCAGCAGAAATAAGTGACAGCAGAAAAATATAGTGTTAAGTACTACCAAAAATATTCTCCCCCACTTTAGCCACAAATGGGCCAAAGATTACATGTTTATAAAGTAATACAGTTATCCAAGACAAAATACTGAGATCAGCAGCAGACAACAGCAGAACATACTTCCAAACTCCACCAGTAACACCACCAAGCAACAATCATCCTTCAAGCACTGTCATCAGACTCAGAGGATTCAGGCTTCTTTCATTTCTTGTGAGTAATGTCAGCATTTCTCTCTTTGTTTGATGTCTCAACATTCTTAGAGACATTTGGATTTGTTTCAGCATTTGAGTTTTCTTGGTTCAGAGGAACAGAAATGCCAGGAACTGAGTGGTTCTCGTTCAGAATTCGGGAAACAATTTTTTCTATTGCTTGATTAACATAGGCTGTCCCTTCCCTATTTGCAATTTCAGGGGGTACTGAAGAGGAAGGATGAGATGGATTACCTGTATGTCTTGTTCTCACCTCTTTGGCCTTGGTGGAGTTAATTCTATGAGAACAGATCTCCAGAACATCAGAGTCTAGACAGGAAGAGATTGTCCCAGAATCTTGATCAGATGAAGAGGTTGAGATGGTCGTATTGGATGATGATGGCGTTTGAGACATTTTGTCAGTTTTGAAGGACAAACAGCAAATGAGAAGAAATTCCTGATTGATGAGAAGACGAGAGAGGAACAAAGCAAAGGAGTGCCTATTCAACTTCTTAAAACAGTTGTAGGAAATGAGAAAATACAATTTTAAACCAATCAGAACAGGCATAAGTCCTTTGGTCTTTGTTTTAAGCAAAATTAATTGCTACAATTCCTCATGTTGGCAAATACCCAGCTTACCCCTTAAGTTTTCAAATTGATTTGCATCCAAAGCCTTGGTAAAAATGTCAGCCAGCTGTAGCTCAGTGGTAACATGTTCCAATTTGATGGTCTTTTCTTCTACAAGGTCTCTAATAAAGTGATGTCGTATGTCAATATGTTTGGTCCTGCTATGCTGAATGGGATTCTTGGATATGTTGATTGTACTCAGATTGTCACAGTATAATGTCATAACATCTTGTGTGACGTTATACTCAGTGAGCATCTGTTTCATCCATAACATTTGAGAGCAGCTACTGCCAGCTGCAATATATTCAGCTTCAGCGGTGGAAAGAGACACACAATTCTGTTTCTTGCTGAACCAGGAAACCAGATTACTTCCCAAAAAGAAACATCCTCCAGAGGTGCTTTTTCTATCATCAGCACTACCAGCCCAATCAGCATCACAGTAGCCAGTCAGAGTCGGTTCACAGCCATGAGTATACAACAATCCATAGTTGTAAGTACCACTTACATACTTCAAAATTCTCTTCACTTGATTGATATGACTGACTTTGGGATCAGCTTGGTATCTAGCACAAACTCCAACTGCAAAGGCAATATCAGGTCTGCTGGCAGTTAAGTACAACAGGCTTCCTATCATGCTTCTGTACAGACTTTGATCCACCTTAACCCCACTTGAATCTTTGGAGAGCTTTAGATGAGTAGGAGCAGGAGTCCTTTTGTGACTTGCATTCTCCATACCAAACTTCTTTACAATATTCTTAGAATACTTGCTTTGAGATAAGAAGATTGAGTCCTCCATCTGTGAGACTTGTAGTCCAAGAAAA